ATATTGCAAGGACAAAGCAACTCTTCTATACAAATCAGTCAAGCTAAGCTGGCAGAATCTTTAAAAGTCAAGATAGTTTGATGACCTGAACACAGCTAATCAGTTTTAGGGCAGCCATATAGGAGAGAATAGAATACAGAGTTGGAAGGGACCTTGGAGGTCTTCTAGTCCAGTGGTCACCAACTGGTGGTCTGCGAGAAAATTTTGGTGGTCTGCAGAAAAATTATTTGCATTTTTTATATTGCACTAAATACTATTTATCTTTTTTAAAAAATCATATTAGTGGTCCGCGGGATTTAAAATTATGAATTTAGTGGTCCCTGAGATCCAAAAGGTTGGTGAGCCCTGTTCTAGTCCAACCCCCTGCTTAGGCAGGAAACCCAACCCTACACCACTTCAGACAAATGGTTATTCAATCTCTTCTTAAAATCCTCCAGTAATGGAGAACCCACAATTTCTGGGGGTAAGTTTTTCCACTGATTAATTGTTCTCACTGTCAGGAAATTTCTCTTTAGTTATAGGTTGCTTCTCTCCTTGATTAGTTTCCATCAGTTGCTTCTTGTCCTGCCTTCAGGTGTGTATTTGGAGAATAGCTTGACCCCCCTCTTCTTTGGGGCAGCCCCTGAGGTATCGGAAGACTGCTATCATGTCTCCCCTGGTCCTTCTTTTCATCAAACTAGACATACCCAATTCCAGCAACCGTTCTTTATATGAGTTTTCCTTTCTTTCTTTCTTTCTTTCTTTCTTTTTTCTTTTTCCTTCTTTCTTTCTTTCTTTCTTGTGTTTTTTAAAAGGATTTCCCAGTTTTTCTTTCTTTCCACAGAGTATTTATTTAAGGATCCTACCAGCCTAGAATCGCTTGGTGGTCTCCCATCCTAGCTACCCACAGAGCTATAGAAGTTCAGCCAAGATCAGCCAAGCGCTGACACTTTTTATCAGGTACCATCTGGGAAGTAGGGATGGTGGCATTTAGAAGCAATCAGAAGTCATTCCAAAGAAAGTTAGGAAACCCGAACAAAGAGAGTTTCATCGGCTTTTGCAGTTCAAAAAACAAGCCGCCTCTATAGAAAAAGCATTTGAGCTCATTGAGGCTTCTTTTTATTTCTCATTCTCCGTTTCCATCTGTTCTCGGATCTTGGATTACGAGAGCTGCTTTTTCCTTCCTTCTCGCAAACTGCATGAAAATCCGCTCCTCCTGTGCTTTTATTGTTTTATGGAATGCCACTTGCATTTTTTAGATTTTCAATTTCCGGCTCCTGCTATTTCTGGATGCTGATATCCCTCCGCTGCCTCTCTGCCTTAATCATGCTTGGCAGCTACAAGAGATAGTCCCATCCTGAAGCCTTCTTAGTTTAAATCAGTGTTAATCTTGGCTGCTTTAAGATGGGTGAACTTCAACTCCCAGAATCCCCCATACCAGCTATGCTTTACTGCTTGACAAAGCTATATCACCTTACAAAGACCACACTGAGAATACAGCATCCAGTTTGGGTCACCACAATTTTAAAAAGATGTTGAAACTCTGGAAAGAGTGCAGAGAAGAGCAACAAAGAGGATTAGGGAGCTGGAGGCTAAAACATATGAAGAAGAGTTGCTGGAATTGGGTATGTCTAGTCTAACGAAAAGAAGGACCAGGGGTGACATGATAGCATCTTTTAATATCTGAGGGGCTGCCACAGAGAAGAGGGGGTCAGCCTATTCTCCAAAGCACCTGAAGGCAGGACAAGAAGCAATGGATGGAAACTAATCAAGGAGAGAAGCAACCTAGAACTAAGGAGAAATTTCCTGGCAGTGAGAAAAATTAACCAGTGAAACAGCTTGTCACAAGGAGTAGTGAATGTTCCATCACTGGAGGTTTTAAAGAAGAGACTGGACAGGCATTTATCTGAAATGGTAATGGGGTCTCCAGTTCGAGCCTGGGGTTGGACTAGAAGACTTCCAAGGTCCCTTCCAACTCTAATATTCTATGTTTTAAATATTGGCTTGACACAGACACGATTTGCCAGATCAGAGGCTGTGTCTGGTCTGAGGGCTGGAGCGGAGCAACATTTTTCTCTTCTGTGCAAAGATTGGCCAACGTCAGTTAGATAAACAGAAATGATGATCATCCCCTTAATATTAGTCCACTAATTGCATAGCTTGGACCATAGAATTGACAGACGATTAATGGAATCGTTAATGGCTTGGAAATTGAACAAGCTTGCTTTCAGGGATTCCCATCTCCATGACACGATGGATGAATAACCCAGGAAGGCCGCTAAAAATTAAAACACCGTTTGTTATTATCCACTTGGCCAAATGTCAGGGTTACATTCAGGGAGAGCGCGAGGCGTCTGCTGGCCCGGCAGCTTCTGTTTGCATGAAGCCGAATTTAATACGGAGGAGAAATTAAGGTACTTTACAAGGTAGGGAAGAAGGGATAGAGATGATTTATAAATCTAATTTAAGGGGATTGCAAGGGTGACAGAGAATGATATTGGGATGAGCTTTCGGTGCTTCCTGGCCAGACCATCACTGCACTGATACACATATAAAGCAAATCATTGCACCCAATAGAAGGAAGAGAAGCAGAGGTTTGGGGGAAATTAACTTCATTTGATAATAGAGTAGCTGGGTGGAAAGAAGGCCAGCAGCACAACTCCATGCCGTGAAGGCAGCCCTGGACTTGGAGCCCTAGTGGACCATCCCTTAAACAGGAGCCAGCCGGGTGGGGCAGCAGCCAAAAAAGCCAGCCCAGTCCTAGGCTGCATCAACAGGGGGCAATATCAAGATCACGAGAAGTGCTGATGCCACTTTGCAAAGCTTTAGTAAGGCCACACTTGGAATATTGCATCCAGTTCTGGTCCCCACAATGTAAAAAAGAGGTTGAGATTCTGGAAAAGGTGCAGAGAAGAGCAACAGAAGATAATTAAGGGGCTGGAGGCTAAAACATATGAAGAACGGTTGTAGGAACTGGGTATGTCTAGTTTAGTGAAAAGAAGGACTAGGGGAGACATGACAGCAGTGTTCCAATATCTCAGGGGCTGCCCCAAAGAAGAGGGAGTCAAGCTATTCTCCAAGGCACCTGAGGGCAGGACAAGAAGCAATGGGTGGAAACTCATCAAGGAGAGAAGCAACCTGGAACTAAGGAGAAATTTCCCAACGCCTTTAGAAGTTGTGGCTGCTCCATCACTGGAGGCTTTCAAAAAGAGACTGGACAATCATTCATCTGAAATGGTACAGGATCTCCTGATCAAGCAGGGGGATGGACTAGAAGACCTCCAAGGTCCCTTCCAATTCCATTATTCTATGTTCTATGATTTATAAGCGCAATTGAGCTTGACCCAAAAGGGCAAGACATGGGTGTCAGTGAGGGGCACTTCAGGGGTGGGTTTCAAAATCCGTTTCTACCAGTTGGCTCGTGGATGCACGCACACATGCTTGTGCACACACACAATGCTTCTGTGCATGCGCAGAAGCGTCCGGTGGGTGGGCGGAGCCTCCCGCTGCCACCGCTACTGGTTCGCCCAATCCGGGACAAACTGGTAGCAACCCACCACTGGCGCACTCGACCTCTTGATCTAGGCTTGAAATTACTGGTGGTGGTTTGTGGTTCTGCCTGTGGTAGGAGGGCATCCCTTCTCCTAACTATGTGAAGCCATCAGCTGGTTGTGCCCTAGATTAAGAAATTGGTATGTGGAATGATTTACTTAATGTAGAAACCCCTCTCCCCCCCCCACAACAGAAGCCCTCTTGGTTGGAGACTTTTGGTGGAAATAGCATCTTCTGCCCTTCCCCATGAAGGACCCCCCAGAGCATCAAGGACAGAGTGGTCCTTGGTGCTCTCTGAGCTTGGTTTGTTTTCTTGCAGACGTTTCATTAACTGACTAGGCAATATCATCAGTGTTAGAATGGAGGGGAGTTTGCTCTCTATTTATTTGGCTTTCATTGTCAGTGTTGTTTTCTTCTTGGTGGTTCCTTGATTAAGCTGTTGTTTATTTTTTTGATCTCTGAGTTGGTAGCAGCTTGATTGAGTTATTGTTTTCTGCTTGATCATTTGTCTGGTCTTAATCCCTGCTTATCTAGATGCTGGCTGCCAGACAGGATATATTCTGATCCTTTTGTTTGCTTCTTAGCTTTTTTTATTGTCTCTTTTGGATGGCGTACAGTCTCTATTTATTTCTCTGGGTCTGTTGATGGCTGATTTGCCTGGAAGCGCCAGGCGTCCAGAAATCCCCTTCCATTTTGGATTTAGCTTGGTCTCGGTCGCTCACGGTTTCCCAGCTGATACTGTGGTTTGAGTCGGTCCACCGGCTGGCAACTAAGAAGTCTTTGTTGGTGTTCACGGATACCATGGTGAACATACTTACTCTGTTTGTACTGTGATTTCATTGGGTGTACATTTGCATTTGATGATTTTAATGTTTTTTATGCTGTAAGCCACCAAGAGTCACTTAGAAACAAGATGGGCAAAACATCAATTTATTAATAAATAAAATAAATAAAAATGGATACACTTCAGCCTGTCTGTCCTACATGGCAGGTGTTACACTTCAACCCTGAGCTACAAACATTCTCTTCTATTGGTCACACACACACACACACACACACACACACACACAGAGTGTTGGTCAGTTGTATTGCTTCTTGGAAGAAATTGAAAATATTCTCAGTTGCAGCCACCAGAGCCTGCAAATCTAATCTCTCTCTCTCCCTCCCTCCCTCTCTCTCCCTCCCTCCCTCTCTCTCTCTCTCTCTCTCTCTCTCTCTCTCTCTTTCTCTTTTCCTGTCTCTCTCTGTGTTCATCTTTCTTTCTCTCTCCTCTTTTCTTTCCTTCCCTCCCTCTCTCTCTTTCTCTCTCTTTTCCTCTTTCTCTCTCACTCTATTTCTCCTTCTCTTCCTCTCTCTCTTCCTCTTTTCCTGTTTCTCTCTTTCTCTCTCTTTTCCTCTTTCTCTCTCACTCACTCTTTCTCTTCTCTCTCTTCCTCTCTCTCTCTCTCTCTCTCTCTCTCTCCCCACAGCACCCCCACGGGAGCCCAGCCTGATGTGCCGGTCCAACAACTACCCCATCGGCTTCTACTGCAGCTGGCACCTGCCCAGCCCGACCTACATTCCCGACACCTTCAACATCACCGTCATGTAAGTGGGGCTTCGGACAGACGAAGGAGAGTAAGCCAAAAACACAAACCAGCATCCAGTGGGAGAGATAATCCTGGTGCAAATCCTTTGGGGTTCTGTCTGGTCTCCTTTCCAGCTATCTGGGCCTTGAGCCTTGAACCCCAAAGGGCGGAGGGGGCAGGGGGCAAACCTGGTCCTGCCAAGGGGGCTCATTTCATACTGAGGGCCAAAATAGGGCTTCTAGGCTCCTGCCTCACCACGCACATTTTCCAAAGAAACAATGCTTCTCCCTGACCTCCACCCTGCCGCCTTTTTCTCTCCCCCCCCAGACACGACTCCCAGGAGATTGCCTGTGAGAAGGACCCGGGCCCCAAGAACAGGTGCTACATCCGCTACCCCCACCTCTTCTCCACCAAGAAGTACAAGGTGACCCTGACCGTCACCAACGCCCTGGGCAGCAGCTCCACCGCCACCTCCTTCGATGAGTTTGCAATAGGTAAGTGCAGCGGGCAGCCCCCTCCCCATTTCCTCCCCCCACTGCAGGATCTCAAGAAGGGGACACGAGGGCTTCAGAAATGGAAAAAAGCCTTCAAGGAGCAGAAGGGCAGGAAAAGCTCCCCACTGCTTAACGGCTGCAGCCTCTGGCAGAAAATCACAATCACATGAATTACTCATACCACTCTATAAAGTAAGGCCACATCTAGAGTCCTGCATCCAGTTTGGTCGCCACACTATAAAAAAGATGTTGAGACTCTGGAAAGTGTGCAGAGAAGAGCAGCCAGGATGATGAGGGGGCTGGAGGCTAAAACATATCAAGAACGGTTGCAGGAACTGAGCACGGCTGGTCTAGTGAAGAGAAGGACCAGGGAAGACAGGATAGAAGTCTTCCAATATCTGAGGGGCTGCCACAGAGAGGAGGAGGGGGGTCAAGCTATTTTCCAAAGCCCCTGAAGGCAGGACAAGGAACAATGGATGGAAACTGAACAAGGAGAGATTCAACCTGGAAATAAGGAGGAATTTTCCTCACAGTGAGAACCATCAACCCATGGAACAGAAGTTGCCTCCGGAAGTTGTGGGAGCTTCATCACTGGAGGCTTTCAAGAAGAGATTGGACGGCCATCAGTCATAAATAGTGTAGGGTCTCCTGCTTGGGTGGGGGGTTGGACTAGATGACCTACAGGGCCCCTTCCAACTCTATTATCCTGTTCATCTGTTAATCTGCCCGCCCCCAATCCTCTTTCACAGGACAAGTGAGAGTATCCTCTCTTTTCTGAGCAACAAAGACCCCCAGGAGAACCAAGAAGCCTCTTGGGATGGCTTAGTCCTTGGGGGGCGGGGGTTTATTAGGAAACAGGAGATCTTAGCTACTTCCTGCAGCTGCACAAACCAATGAAAACAGGAGGGCAAGCGGCACGGCAAGGTTCAGACAGGCATAGGTTGCAGGTAAACAGGCTTGGGAGTCTGCATTGATGTCATTGGTGTAGCCTTCCAATATTTGAGGGGCTGCCACAGAGAAGGGAGGGGGGCGACCTACTCTCCAAAGCACCTGAAGGCAGGACAAGAAACAATGGATGGAAACTAATCAAAGAAAGAAGCAACCTGGAATTAAGGAGAAATTTCCTAACAGTGAGGACAATTGACCAGTGGAACAACTTGCCTCCAGAAGTTGTAGGTGCAACCATCACTGGAGGCTTTAAAGAAGAGATTGGACAACCATTTGTCTGAAATGCTACAGGGTTTTCTGCCTGAGAAGGGGGTTGGACTAGAAGACCTCCAAGATCCCTCCCAACTCTGTTATTCTGTTACTCTGTTAATTAATCAGTGGAATGACTTCCCTTCAGAACCTATGGGTGCTTCATCACTGGAGGTTTTCAAGGAGAGATTGGATCCCCACCTGTCTGAAATGGTTTTTACGGTCCCCTGCCTGAGCAAGGGGTTGGACTAGAAGACCTCCAAGTTCCCTTCCAACTCTGTTATTCTATAATTCTGCGATTTCTGCCTCCCCCTTTTAATCTGCGAACTACATTTCCATCAATGTGAGACTAGCTCTTCCAAAGCTGCTCTTTCCACCAACTGTATACAGAGAACAAAGTTCAGAGAATAATAACTCACTAAAGACTGTTCTCTGCTAGTCCTCAGCATATGGAGCCTGCCCATTAAAGGTTGTACATCACAGCGGTCATAAAGTGGGTCAGTCCACCGGCCTTATTTCACTGCCTTTTTTGTGGCAGTCATAAAGCCAACCTGTGTTTCGCTCTAGCCTGAAAAGTGGGTTTGCTAAAATCTGAAAGTAGATGACGGTTTTCAGCAAAATAATCATAAAACAGGGTCAGGGGATTGCACTCCTTTAATCACGTGACCTCAGAGGGGGTCCCAACTGTTGGAACTTCAAATCAGAGTCATAAGTCCCCTTTATCGGATCGGTCGTAACTTCACACAGGTCCTAAATGACCGGTTGTAAGTCAAGGAGTACCTGTAGTGGCTGGGTTCACACAACACCCTTCTCTGGGCTATTGATGCAACCCATTTTTTCCTAACTGAACCAAACAGGCTAGGTTTCCACACACAAGAAAACAAACCAGAATTAAAACTAGTCAAGCTTAGCATCCCCCTGCTAGGTCTGTAACATGCCAGACAGGGCTCCTTTGGCCAACCGGAACTGAATACTTCCTAACTCTACAAGCATCCATTTCTTACATTGGGGCATCTCCTGCTTCCCTGGAGCAGAGGGGCCACTGGTCTGACCCTTCTGGAGAGGGCTGGGGTCAAGAACCCGGGTCCAGCCAGTTTCCCTTTTGGCTTCTCCAGTGGGAAGCTCCCGGCCTCCCAGTGAGTCCAAAGAAAACGTGCCAGCTTGCTGGCAAATGGGGGAAGTGGTTTTTTTGATCTGCAATTGCCCTCCACCTGCAATTAGCCACCACCTGAAAGGAGGCGGTCGCATCCCATTTCCAGTTTAAATTGCAGCAGGAAGAGGCAGGGTCTCTGGGCATCTCGGCTGCATCTCCCTGCACAGGTCTCTTAAGGCAACCTGAGAGCTCCGAGGGGGAAGAGGGAATGGAGCTGGCAGAGAGAGAGAGAGACAGAGACAGAGGTGGAGCCTGGCCATCCGTCAGCCCCCAGGTGGAGAGTCAACAGCCCCCAGGAGGTCTGGAGGTGCCTGATGAGGAAGAGGAGGAACAGCTGGGTCCAGTGCCTGACGCGTGGATGCATAAAAGCCAGAGGAGAGGAGAGCCGGGGAAATCTATGGGCCGGTCCTCGGGACGGAAGAGACACCGCTTCTAGCGAAGCCCCACCTTAGCTCTGGGGATAAAAGGCAGGGGGCGGAGATGAATAGATGTGGCAGACAACGATTCTTCTCCCTGCCGGATGGACTTCTTAGCCTGCAGTGAGAGAGAAACTTTTTGCCGGGGCTGCTGGCGCTCCTTATTAATGAATCATTGCTTCAACTACAGAGGGTTTGTTGTGTTTGGGGAGCTGGGTCAGGACACCATCTCTGTCCTAGGGATGTGACTCACTTAGTGACACCTTGGGATGTCGAGGGGGTCCAGGGGGGTCCAGAAGCGAGCCTGGCACATTCAAAACAGGCCTGTGCAGGGCAGCTGTGCAAACAGTCAGAGCCGAGAGAGGGTCAGGTTGGGAAGCAGAAAATTAAAAAGCCTTAACGAGCAATTAGGCCTGGGAAGGAGCCCCCCCCCCACATTCCCACTTAGGAAAGTGTTTGGTGCATTGATGTTCAATGCTCCTTGCAGGGAAATGGGCAACGGGCAGTGGAGGCTTGCTCTAATCAGGACTTTAGGTGGCAATCGGGGACAGCGGATGGATCAAATGCCTTTGACGAGGCCTTTAGTGAAGGATGCAACAGGTATCAAATCTCTCTTTGTTTTTTTAATGGATATTTTGGGCCAATTTCTCCACATGGCGTCACTTCACAGTGCTTTCTTTGTTGTTATGCCTCCGAGCAAGGTCAACAGAGGTTTCTTTGTCATCCAGGTCCTGGTTGTCTCAAAGGTGTTTTTTTTTCCAAGAGGCAACTGGACTTTTCTTGTTTTTTCTTCGAAGACGTTTCGCTTCTCATACAAGAAGCTTCTTCAGCTCTGACTGCAAGGATTTATACTCCTTGCAGACAGCTGGTCATTTGCATTTTTTAAAGGGAGTCCTTGAGGCCGCTTGGAGGTTTTATCTGTGTCCTCAGAATCACCTGAGTGGTGCAAATGGGTGTGGAGCCTTCTTGGCTGCAGGATGCTTTCTGCCCTGGGTCCCTTCTCTGGTGAAGACAGGGGCAGGCCGAATTTTGATCACATCACCGTGGAAATGCAGCGCAAGTGTGAAAAATGGTCACAAATAACTTTTTTCAGTGCCGTTGTAACTTCAAATAATCACTAAATGAATGGTCATAAGTCAAGGACTGCCTGTACAAGGTCCTCGGTGTGAGAGAAAAGGCGCCAAGGGGCAAATCTTCTTGGGGCCAGCCTGTGTCAGCCCCCCCCCAAAAAAAACAACTAAGAATGACCCACGGGATGACTTAAAAGTCGTTTCCCCTAATATTGTTTGCCTGTAGACGGAATCTTGCCAGACTAAAGCAACTATTTGCATCCTTATTGATATCCTCTGGGAACAGTTAGGGAGGCGCTGGCTTCACCTTCTTTCTCATACACAAACTATCAAAGCTTCGCTGCCTCTTTGCTCTCCTGGGAATCCAGACCACTTTCCACCACAGCCTGGGCTCCTAGGTTGGGTGCCATGACAGAGACAGTGGGTGGCAACCAGGCCAGGTGCATCCCATCCTCCAGGGTCTGTGCCCAGTAGCCGCCAACATAGCCCAGAAAAGGGGGATCAGGGATGGGTTTCCAGGAAGTTATCAGGCCAAGGGTCTTTCAAGGACTCATTACATACAACGACAGAGTGGGAAGGTTCCTTGGAGGTCTTCTAGTCCAACCCCCTGCTCAGGCAGGAGACCCTCTACCATTCCGGATGAATGGCTGTCTAATCTCTTCTTTAAAAAATCTCCAGTGACGGAGCAAACACAACTTCAGGCATTGTGTTTGCGAAAGCTTTGCAAGTGTGACTTTGTGCCTGGCAGGGGGTTTGTGTAAGGCCCCTTGCTGGATCCCGAGTTGCGGTGTCACCACAATAAAGGCGAACGCAGCTTGACAGCTGGTGTTTGCATTCCTGATGCAAATGCAGCGGGAGACAGAAAAGGGAATTCTCCAGGCTCAGGTTTTCTAATGGGAGCCCTGGGCAAATTATGGACAGCAAACACCCGGCATTAAAAATGTAACATCCTGACGGTGTTAATTATTCTCCACATCAAAAGCCATCCGGGGCAGATGCCGCTGCCGCTGTTGTACCGCGTGACGTGCAGAGGATGAGCTCAAATATTAAGAGCCTTGGTAGTACAGTGGTCTAAGGCACCCTGTTATTAAACTGGTTATTAAGACCAGCTGCCTGCAATTACTGCAGGTTCGAATCTCTCCAAGGCTCAAGGTCGACTCAGCC